AATGACCGAGCCTTGATCAGCTGACTCCCGGCTTGGGTGCAGAGCTAGGTGAAGAGATCTGGCCCTTCCCTTTCTCTGGACGATGACTCACGTCAATGTGGATCTCTGGCTTCAGTCTCACTCCCTGTGAGTCTTCCCGGTTCAACTGGGTCTGGGTGAGGTACTGACCCCAGCTCTCCTGATTCCATGCTGGTTCGAGCATGTCAGATGGGTCGCAAATTGGCTGGAGGGCCACACCCAGAGAGTGGTGGTGGATGGGTCTTTTTTGATCTGGAGGGATGTGGGAAGTGGGGTCCCCCAGGGCTCAGTCCTCGGACCTGCGCTGTTCAACATCTTCATCAGTGACTTGGATGAGGGGGTGAAAAGCACCTTGTTCAAATTCACGGATGACACTAAAATGTGGGGAGAAGTGGGCATGCTGGAGGAGAGGGACAGCCTGCAACTAGATCTAGACAGGTTACAGGGGTGGGCGGATGAGAACAGGATGGGATTCAATACTGACAAGTGCAAGGTGCTGCACCTGGGGAGGAAGAACCAGCAGCATACCTACAGGCTGGGGAACTCCCTTCCCGTCAGCGCAGAGGCAGAAAAGGAGCTTGATGTCATTATTGATGCCAAAATGAACATGAGCCTCCAATGTGGGAACGCAGTCAGCAAGGCTAACTGCACCTTGTCATGCATCCACAGATGCATCCCAAGCAGGTCGAAGGAGGTGATCCTCCCTCTCTATGCAACACTGTTCAGGCCGCAGTTGGAGTACTGCATCCAGTTCTGGGCACCGCACTTCAGGAGGGATGTGGACAACATGGAGAGGGTCCAGAGGAGGGCCACCCGCTTGGTCATGGGGCAGCAAGGCAGGCCCTACGAGCGGAGACTACAGGACCTGAACCTGTTCAGCCTCCACAAGAGAAGGCTGAGAGGAGATCTGGTGGCCATCTACAAACTGGCCAAGGGGGACCAGCAGGCTATGGGAGAGTCCCTGTTCCCCTGAGCACTACCGGGAGTAATGAGGAATAACGGCCATAAGCTGACAGAGTAGGTTCAGGCTAGACATCAGGAAGCACTACTTCACAGTCAGGGCGGCTAGGATCTGAAACCAACTTCCAAGGGAAGTGGTGCTCGCTCCTACCCTGGGGGTCTTCAAAAGGAGGCTACATAATCACCTTGCCAGGGTCACTTGACCCCAGCATCCTTTCCTGCCCATGGCAGGGGGTCGGACTTGATGATCTGCTGAGGTCCCTTCCCACCCTACCTACTATGAAACTATGTAACTATGTTGGCAAGTCCAAGGTGCTCAAAGGATTCAGGTGGGGGTGTGAACGAAGTCTTTCTCTCCTTTTCTTTACCAGCTCTGCCACACCCGTTCTTATTGGATTTAAACTGTCATCCACTGTTACCAGGTGAAATTTGAGGACAAGAATATGCCTATTCACATAACATGCTCACTTGCTCTCTCCCCCTCTCTCTCTCAACATATGAAACATTAGACACATGCATCAAGATGCACTCTGTAGGCTCAAGCTTTTAAACCTGAACTTCCATCTATGGGGCCATATCTTCTGCCCACCTCCTAGCTGCTTTGTGCTGCCCAAGAGTGATGCAACTGGAATTGGAGCTGGTGGTGCTGGTGTTATCACTCACAGCTGTTCTCGATTCCAGTAGAGGAATACATTAGTAGTGTGACCAGAACTCTTGCTCTTGCAATTCCTATATGGCAGTGATCCTGAGAGGGAAAGTTGAGGGGAAGGATCAGGGCCTGTATGATACAGAACAGTCTTTCACTGCTCCAAGTTAAACCTGGGATTGAGCTGACCCCAGATGTGATATAAGAGTTACAAATAAACACAAAGGGTGAGTCTAAAGGAGCACACATGCGGTTTGCAGTGCTACAAACTTGTCTACAGTGCCACAAATCGCACATGCCACACATGCACCCATTTGCCGCACTGTTAATTTGCAGTGTGGTGGGTTTTTTGACACCAGCAAATCCTGGTGTCAAAAAAAAAGCACCAGAATAAAGCAGGGTGGCACACGTGGCAGCAGTGTGCATCACCCAAAACTAGAGCCTGGCTGGCCAGAGCCATGCTCTGGCTCCCAGCCAGGCTCCACATGACTGGATCACTGCTGATGCAGCCCTAGAAAGCCCCCAGGACCCCAGGTAAGGCTACTGATGCTAGCCCAAGTGCTGGCCCCAGCCTCTCCTACCCGACCTGGGGCAACTCGCTGTGTGCCACAGCATGCATGCAGGGGTGTTTCCTGGGGACAACTATTTGTCTCTGGGGAAAACACACATTTCTGCTTGTGGGGGATGCACCCAAAAAACAGAAATTGATGTTCCTGCAATGTTGGTAGTATTCCATTTATTAGTGTTTTGTTCCTCTGACGGTTAGTCTTGCCTCACAGACTGAACAGAAAACTCACTTTTAATCTTCCCAGCCATTTTCCTCCAAGACATAGCGTTCAGTAGGATGCTAGAATGCTGTTCTAGCACACACCGCAGACACTCAAAGGGGCAGGGCTAGGATGACCTGGATAGACTGGGGAACTGGGCTGCAGTCAATCAGCTGAGATTCAACAAGCACAAGTGCAAAGTCCTGCACTTGGAACGGAATAAGTGCACGCACAAATACAGACTGGAGAATGACTGGCTGAGCTGCAGTACTGGAGGGAAGGGTTACAGTGGACTAAAAGCTGAATGTGAACCAAGTGTGCTCTTGTTGCAAAAAAAGCCAAAATCCTGGGTTGTATCAACAGCAGTATCATTTGCAAATTGAGGAAAGTGATTCGTCCACTCCATGCAGCACTGGAGGGGCCTCTCCTAGAGACCTGCATCTACATTTGGGTCTCGCACTACAGGAGGGATATGGTCAGTGTGGCAAGAGTCCACAAGAGAACAACAAAAATGTCAGGACCTGGGAGGCAAGATTTATGAGGAATGGTTATTTAATCTGGAGAAGAAAAGACTGAAAGGGGATTTGCTAACAGTCTTTAAATACCTGAAGGGCTATTACAGAAAGGATGGAGGTAGGCGTTTCTCTGTGGCTGCAGGGGACCAGAATAAGGATCAATGGCCTCAAGCTGCAGCAGAGGAAATTTAGGTTGGAGATAAGGAGGCACTTTCTGACTGTTACGGTGGTCAAGCATTGGAATAGGCTAAATTATGGCCTCCCCAATCCTGAAAATTATCAAGTGGAAGTGAGATGGGACACTTGGCTGGGGTGGTTTAGTCTGGGATGATCCTACCTTGACCAGGGGACTGGATGACTTCATGAGGCCCCTTCCAGTCCTACTTTCCTGTGATTCAGGATTGAGCTGCTTGTAGGAGACTGAAAGGAGCTGCTCACAAACACGTGTAGTAGAAAAGGAGCCTAGACCACCAAGGAGTGTGAAGGTAGTCAAAATAGCACCATTTTAAAACCATAAAAAGGGAAACTCAGCCCACTCTTCATGCACACATTCTGCAGGCACTGTAATCTCTACTGAACAACTACAGGACAGCTTCCTAGTGCATTGTGGGTAAGTTCTAACACAAACATGGTGGGAATGTGCAAACACAGCAGACGCAGGGCTCCATTCTGGGAATTGTTGCATGGCACAAATGGGTGTTGAAGCACATTGTTTTACAAGCCTGATGAATGACGAGTACTTCTATGACAGTAGGTTAGCTAGACCTACCTACCACCTATCCTACTCATGGAAGATATCCCAAAGGGAACTATGGTGGGTAAGACGTCCCATTCTCGGCTTGCATCAACCAAAGCAGTCTGAAAGAGTTGACCATATTACATCAGAATACACTATACAAACTGGTAGCGGGGGAGGAACATAAACCAATACAACTGACAGGGAAAATAATGGTTTAATTAGCAGTGAGCACTATTAGTTGGTAGCGTGGCATAAGCACTTCAGTGCCAATTTGCTTAGACTCATAACCCAGTCATGTTTCTTTTCATCTGTGTGGGGACATTGAACAATAATTTTAGCCCTATACCTACATGGAGTTAAAAATAGTTTCATCCACACCAAGAAGGGGAAAAAAAAAAAATCTTCCTAGACCACCTCTAGTCCACAGACATGTTTCACACTTTAAGCTATGCTGTAACATAAATGAGGCAAAAGGCCACACAAGCCCTTTGACTGCTTTAGGAAACTAGCTGGTAAGAGATCAGCGGATGTTTGCTTACAACTTATTTGCACTTCATTCTAGATAGGTGCCTGGATGTGTGCACCCTCCCCCAGACTCCATGTGCCCCTTCTGCCCCGTATTTGCATCTTTGAAAAAATGTGTTTAGAAATATGGTAACTAAATTTTCTATAGAGGGAAGACATTAGGAGTTTCCTCAGCAAACATTCTGTTATGTACCAGTTTTGGAAAAGCACTTAAAGGGAAGGATTATTTTACAGCAGATTATTCGCTTTAAAATATTTTACTTCCAGCCAGGGTTTATGGCACTCATCACATTTTAGTTCAACTACATTTCATAGAAGTCCCAAGGTGTGCACTAACTCTTCGTTTTAAAGATATTTTTCCACACTGAGCATTGTTTTAATTTTCAGTTGACTGCATGTGGGAAGGGCAGAGAAGAGTGGTTCAAAGTTTTCCATGTGCCTGAACTCCAGACCCCTCTGAATTTCTAGGATCTTTAAAATGGATATAAAGTTGGGTCTGTAAGCCCAATTCTCCAGCTAGATGATCCAATTCATTTGAGAGATGCAACTATTTATCTAACACTGAAATTTCAAATGACAGATTAGGATGAAGTAAATTATGTCAGACATTTTGGCATAAATAAATGCTTCAAAAAATTAGCATCATGTTAGGGAAATAAGTTTTGGGTATTAGGATTCATGTCATTCTAAATGCTTGGACCGAGTGAAAGAGCAAATAGAAGACTACCTTGGTGCAAGAGGGAAAAAACCCAAACATGAACCATCATGTTATGTGTGTATTCTCATATGTGAATGGCATTCCAGGTCTGAAGAAAAGGACACATAACGGATTAGCGCTTTACATACATTTATTTAGCAGCAACTGCAATCAATCTCCAAAAAAAAGTCTGGAGTCCCCTTTTGTTTCTGAACCAAGTCAAGTGACAAAACTAGCTGCTAAAAACAGTAATGATGAAGCAGACAGGATCAATCTTTTGAGAAACAGATATCTAAGGGTGGGGGAAGAGGAAGAGTTAATCTTTTTAGAAGGCAAAATATAAATATATACACTCTAAATTCACAACAGTTGAACACACTACATTTAGTTCAAGTGGGATAACAGTGGACAAATTTGCATCATGTAAATGGTAGACTCAAGAGATCTCCACTCTCTTTTCTTCCTAATCCTGTCCAGTGTTGGTTTACATTCTGTGATCTGCCTATTGCAGAGTTGAAATACTGAAGCGCTGCAGTGTTGATTCTTGAGGACTGTGCACAAGAACAGACTGGGGAGATGTTTTGTCCTTTACACATTGCTCAGAGCATCCACACCAGGAAGAACTTTACCTGTTAGCAATTAAGAAAGCCACAGAAAATAAGGTTTATTTTTAAAAGAAATTGAGGTATTAAACGCATTAAAATACTGCAACACTATAGAAGAATCACAAATGCTTAGATCAGCCCTCACACACTCCTGTTGATTTTGATGGCTCTTAAGGTAGTGTTATATCTAATTGCTACACAGCAGCAAACACATTTTAAAGCTCCAGTAAAGCTTTCAAGTGCAACTGTTTTCAACATTCTGTTAAGTAGGTTAAAAACCCAAAACCTCCCTCTGCTCAAAAGACTTATGGGGCTTGTGGGTTTTTAAAATGTGTGTGTGTTAGACGCACAAGAATTCAAATCCTCAAAGATATTTTGATGCTTTACTCGCTCTGATTTCCCACTGGTAGAGGAGTGAAGTATCCAACTACCCTTCAAGATCTGGGTCCAGATGAAAGTACAGGAATCTCTTTTAATCCCTTTTCACTTTTTTGTATCTCATTCATCTTTGATGGTGGACACTGACTTGACAACAAGGAGACAAAACAGGTCTGTCTCATCTTCCAAATCTGGGGCCATAGCACAATGCTACAATGTCTGAGTTTTAACAAGATCACATGACATTATTCTTAAACCAAAAGTTACTTTTTAAGGTACAGAAATATTTCAAGTCAGTCAGACTTTCATTATAATTTAAAAGACTTCACACACCCACCCCCTATATTTGAAGCCAAAAAGTAGACAAACTTTGTTCTTTAAAATAAATCAGCTGCACAATGTTTCTTCCAGCCACTTGCATTCTTTCCCTTCACCATTACTCCCTAGGCAACAGAAACAAAAGCCCCATCTAACATACAACTGATGGAAACTAACAGCTGCAAGAGTCTAGTGTGGCTTCTCTTGCACAGAATAGGTGACAGCATTAGATAATTTACATATATTGAGAAACGGCTAATTACCAGAGGAAATGAAAACTCATTTAGAATATAATGCAGCTTGTAAAAGAGTCTGATACATTCTCACCATTTTAAACACGGCATCTTCACATGTGCAGGCTTGTGTGACCACTAGAGGGCTGCTTAAACTAAGATTTTTAATTAAATTTTAAAGCTATCATACTTCTCTACCAAAAAAGGTAGAGACTACTTTGTCTTTTACATAGATGCAGCTCATCAGCCAAGCCATTACAAAGATTAAACAAGTATTCTGGGTCTGAGCAACTGAGACCAAGACAGTTCATAAATTCAAAATCTTCCATAAAGGGGATGAAAGGGCAATAGTTTAAGAAAACCCGAGTCAGTTCTCAAATTAATTTCTGTTCTGCCTTTCCAGTAAGGGCAGAAATGGCAGTCTGTGCTCACAGAAGAATGGTCCCTTTTCTTCTCAGTCCAACCCCAGAACAGGGCAAAGAAAGGCTGTTTTAAATAAGCCTCTGAGAATCTCAAAGGCAGTGGCAGAGCACACACTAGGACTGGTGAATACAAGAGACATTCATTCTGTTATTTTGCCTGCACCAGTACCGCTTAAATCATCCAGACCTACTCCCCACTCTGAATGAGTGAATTAAGAGAAGGAAAGAAGTTACCTTCCAGCAGTTCCAAGCTGGCACCGCCTCCAGTGCTGACGTGGCTGACCTTATCCTCAGTGTTCCACTTCGCACAGCAAGTAGCAGTGTCTCCACCACCTGGTCAGAAAAGTGAATTAACGATATGTAGGAAGAACTTAAGTTTATCCACTAAGAATGAGCCTGCTCCTCTTTGCAAGGATGTGTGTCGATCCAGTACACAAAGCACCCTTCAAGGCCACAAATGCAGCCTAAGCAGAGCAGAGCAACCCATCAATGAAAGGGCTGGAGATTCTAATCGCTGCATAACATGCTGCTGGCTGGGGGTGTCGAGGGAGGAGGAATGGGGGAGATGGATGCATTAATATCAAGGTCTTACCAATAATGGTGATGCAACCCTTGCCAGTAACTTCCACAACTTTATCCATCAGAGCTTTGGTGCCTTTGGCAAATTTCTCCCACTCAAACACACCAACCGGACCATTCCACACAATTTGCTTGGCCCTGCCTACAACTTCTACAAACTTCTTATTACTTTCAGGACCACAATCCAGGCCCTAAGAGAAGAGAAACATGAATACAGTTATTGTCAAGCTTCATCCAAAACTGATCACTTAATATGATCCAAGAAAGCCAGCTACTTAATTCTTACACCACCTTCTGTTTCACTTATTCACCACATGCTAAACATGTCTGAATGAATGAGACCACCACCTGCCTGGGGTAGCTACCAGCAGTCTTACTGTGAAAGCACCAACTTCACTGTTAACTTCCCTTATTTAGCCAATATACATGTCACAGTCAAGTGCTTTCTGAAGCTGTTGGGTAGCTACCAGCAGTCTTACTGTGAAAGCACCAACTTCACTGTTAACTTCCCTTATTTAGCCAATATATACATGCCACAGTCAAGTGCTTTCAGAAGCTGTTTCCAAAACTCCTTTAACAAGGTGCACATTCCACCCCTCTTTCCACCTTGTTTTCTCTTTCCTACTAAGCCTACCATCCAGCCAGCAGGGATCCCAGAGGCCACAGTGGCTTCTCCAGTCTGCGCGTGCTCATCAAATTTGTCAGCAGTGATGAAGTCAACAGGTAGAGTGATCTTCACACCATTCTTCTCTGCTTTTGCCATCAGGTCCTTGACAATCTTTGATCCCTCTTCATCAAACAGCGAGTTGCCAATCTACAGAAGAAACAGGGATATAGAAAAGTTCTTGTGGCTACTGGCCATTATATAAGTTTACCTGCACTCTGACAGCAAGAACAAGAACCTGGGTTTTGAAGCCTGGCAATGTGTACTAGTCACAGGGTCAGCCCATGCCCTAAGCACTATGGAAGTCCCACTTTGAAGGGTCAAATCTGGTTCTTATTCCTCACTGCTGACCCCCTGCACAGAGCTGAACTTCACCCCATGCCCAAAGTATACATTTGAATTGCCTTTTTCATTTGCTAACATCTAGGCCTTGGCAAGAGGTCGCCTCTTAAGTTGACAAATTGATTACAAAGAGACTGCTCTGTATTACATTTACTCAAGTCAGATTATGCATTTTCAGTTTTAAACTCCAAAAGGGAATGCAAATGATCTGGTGCATGGAGAAACCCCTCTATGCCTCTCCTCCCCTGACCTCCCAAAGCAGGCACAGAACTCCCATTTTGTACCTCCATGTTGTTGAGCACTTTGAGGAAGGTGAAGGCCATTCCACCACCAATTATCATCTCATTGACTTTATCCAGCATGTTGTTGATTAGCTGAATCTTATCCTTAACTTTAGCTCTACAGGAGGGAAAGA